AGATCTCTGTGAGTTCAAGGCCAGCCTGGTCTACATAGTGAGTTCCAGGACAGCTGGGGCTACAGGGAGACACTGTCTCAAAAAAAAAAAAAGACCAAAAAAATACCAAAAATAAAAAATAATAAAATATTTTAAAAGGGCTAGAGAGATGGCTCAGTGGTTAAGAGCACTGGTTGCTCTTGCAGAGGACATGCATTTGAATCCCAGCACCTATATGAAAGCTTAAAAACTGTTTGCCAGGCATGGTGGCGCACGCCTTTAATCCCAGCACTTGGGAGGCAGAGGCAGGCAGATCTCTGTGAGTTCAAGGCCAGCCTGGTCTCCATAGTGAATCCAGGACAGCTGGGTCTACAGGGAGACCCTGTCTCAAAAAACACCAAAAAAAAAACCAAACTATAACTCCTGTTCCAGGGGAATCCAACGCCCCCCCCCACCTCCACAGGCATTGTACAACATGAGCGCACCTACCTACATGCAGGAAATATGCTCATACACATAAAAATAATTATATATTAAAAATTATGTGCCTGTGTGTGTGCACGCGCACCAGCACATGTGTGGAGGTCAGAGGACAGTTTGCAGGAATCATTTCGCTCCTTCTACCATGTAGGTCCCAAGGATCAAACTCAGCTTGTCTGACTTTGATGGCAAGTGCCTTTATCCGCTGAGCCATTAAATAAATAAATAAATAAATAAACAAATAAATAAATAAATAAATAAATAAATAAATGCTAGATCTGGGGAAATGGCTCCGTCAGCAAAATACCTGCTGTGTAAACATGAAAGTCTGAGTTTGGATCCCTAGAATCTAGATAAAAACAAGGCCTTATGGCTTGCCTGAATTGATGTGCTCCAGGTTCAATAAGTTGTATCTCAAAAAAAAAAAATAAAAGGTGGAGAGTGATTGAGGAAGATGTAAAATTGCCTGCACATGCATACACACGGGCAAGCACATATCTACCACCACATGCACAAACATGAGTACACCACACACATACACACACACACACGCACACACACAAATGCTAACACCTCCCTGATATGCCATTTATACTCACCAAACTGGAAAAATTAACCTAACCTAACAATATGAAGGGTTGGTAAGGGCAGAGAAAAATAAAAAAAAAGGAGGACTGATACAAGTTGATGATCAATCTTGTCTACACAGCAAGTTCCAAGGCCATCCAAGGCTATATAGTAGGACTCTCTCTCAGAGAAGAAAAGAAAAAAAGGACAACCCAAACATCCAGCAGAACTGTAAATTTATGTATTGACGCTATGCAAGTCTATAACACAATAAAAATGAATGCATGTCTCTTAAACCATTAAGAAGAAAAAAAACCAAAACCCCACACAGCTTAAAAATAAGTAAAACTGGACTGGAAGGTTGCCTCTTGTTAAGAGCCCACACACACTGCTTTTCCAGAGGACCCCATTTCAGTTCCCAGCATCAACTTCAGGTGGCTGACAACTACCTACAACTCTTGAGGGTCCTATGCCCTCTTCTGGCCTCCGTAGACAGCTGCATTCATATGCATTCATGTGCATTCACACACACACAAATATGTACACATAATTAGGAATACATTTTTTTAAAATTATGTAGAACTGAACAATATGCTGTTCAGGATACACAAATCAGAAGGGAATATATGAGCATCAACTACTACATAAAGAATAAAAATTGATAAAATATTTGGGGAGTGGATGAAATGGAGAAGAAAAAGGAGACAGTCATTGCAGTTTTTTAGTTCTTAGGTATGTTCATGGACATTCATTTCATTAAGGGGCATCAATTTAAATTTACATAAAATATTCTAAGCACATATGGTTATATATTCATTAAGGGGCATCAATTTAAATTTACATAAAATATTCTAAGCACATATGGTTGTATATTGTATATGAACATATATACAATGCCCATTTATTAAACTACTGCTTTTCTACCACTGTACTGAGTCAACACTCCCCAAGAAAAACTGAATTTCCCAAATAACAGGTTAAATCAATCCACAAAGGGGAAATGTCTGTCAGTATGCCAAAGGTCAGCACATATTTTATGTAAGCAAAATACTCGTATATACCTTTCTTTGGGGTTCTTGAAGCAAGATCACACACAAAGGTGTCACTACCTTATGCAAGAAAATGAATTGTGTTCATATTCTTTAGGCACAGGGAGGGAGGGAAAGTTAAGAAAACTTTCTTAATGTGCATGCTCAGTGTACACACCTGAGCCATAACCGCTACAATACAGATTTATACATAGATCTAGTCAGTATGGAGCTAATAATTTACTACGGAAAATGTAAGTAACCAGCGTCACCCCCTCAACTGTTACTTTCCAATTGGGATTAGCTTTCATTGCTTTCTTGATTTATCTTCCACAGTCCGTCCAAACTTCTCAGTAAGTGAAAAGCAACTGATTCATTTCTGAGAAGTCTTATAAGTAAAACAAAATCAGTTGCGAAGGGTTAAGAAAAAAAAATAATAATAAAAATAAACAAGAACAGAATGGGGCTGGAGAGACGGCTCAACAGTTAAGAACTGACTGTTCTTGCAGAAAACCCGGGTTCGAATCCCAGCACCCACATGGCAGCTAACAACTGTCCCTAACTCCAGTCCCAGGGAATCCGACAGCCTCTTCGTCCTCAGGCATTGCACGACATGGGTGCACTTACCTACATGCAGGCAATACACATACACATAAAAAAATTAAAAGAAAAAAAAACAGAACAGAAAACAAAATCTTCCAGGAGAATGGTAGAGAAGCTAAAAATACAGAGCGTTTCCACACTGAAACTTCCTAGAGAAAAGGCAAGAGCGGAACAAAGCTTTCAAGGGCTCGTTCTCAGAACTCATCTAGGGAAACCTATGCTTTAAAAACAGGAGCGCCTCCATAAAGATGGCGGTGGGCCGGAGCCCCTTCTCCCCCCGCTACCCCCCACCCCCAAACAAGGCTCTCATTACACATTTCCCACAAACCCCTCCGCGCAGCCCCGCTCGCCCAAGCCGGCCCAGCCCGACTGCGGCCTCTGCGCACGCGCGGACCAACGTCACGCGCGCTCCTAGGACCCGACGGAGCTGGCAGGAGGGGTCTCGGCAACTTCCGCCGCCGCGTCGCTTCAGGGCTCGGCCGGCGGGTTCGCGCTGCTTCCGCCGCCGTGGAGGCGCCGGGTGGCGCGGAGCCGAGCAGGGGGCGCGCGGCGGCGTGGCCATGGGACCGCGCCCGCTCTGGTGACAGCAGGGAGATCAGCGGCCTGGGCCCTGAGCGCGTCTCCTGCGGGGGTCCTCGCCCTCCTGCTCGCGGGGCCGGGGCTCCTGCTGCCTTTGCTCGTGTTGCTGCTGGCGGCGGCGGCCAGGATCATGTCCGGCCGTCGCTGCGCCGGCGGAGGCGCGGCCTGCGCGAGCGCCGTGGCTGAGGCCGTGGAGCCGGCCGCCCGCGAACTATTCGAGGCGTGCCGCAACGGGGACGTGGAGCGAGTGAAGAGGCTGGTGACGCCCGAGAAAGTGAACAGCCGCGACACGGCGGGCCGGAAGTCCACCCCGCTGCATTTCGCCGCAGGTAACCGAGCTCCGCACCTCAGACCCCCCACCTGCACCTCGGGACTCACGGGCCGGAAGCCACGCAGCGCTGCGTGCCCCGACCTCTCCCCGGGACTCGCATCCTGGCCGCCTCGCTCTTTTCGCGTGGGGCTGGTGATTAGGGGTGGGTTGGGGAAGTTGTGTGTTCGTGGGGTTGGTTGGTTGGTTGGTTGGGAGGAGGCTTTGTTTTGTTTTAGAGTATCAACAATACCTGCACCAACTTCCGGTCTTCCTACCCTGAAAGGCCTCTGCACACAAGACAGGCGTGATGTGAAAAACAGATTATCTCAGAAACTCGCTCTTCTTGCAAGTTCCACCATAAATCTTACCAATCCCTTAAATTCTGGCGGCCTTTGTAAACTGGGACTGTAGGGGTTGCTTTCTTGGCTATTGACATGTTAGCGTTAGTTGGTTTATCGAATTAGTTAACCATTTGGTTTCTGGGGAGATTAGAACAAAATGGGCAAGTTTGGGAGACCTGAGATCTGACTTGGGCTGAATGTGGTCGGTTCTGCTGCACAACACAAGAGTTGAGGTGGGAAGTAAGATTAGACAAAAGATAAGACGGGTACTTTAGCTTGGATCTAGAATTTTAAGACTCACTTTGACTCATCCTGAGATTTATTATAGATAATTCGAAGTAGTTTACGGAATTCTCTTTATGATACCAGAGCACTAAATTTTATGGACGTGTTTAAAAGCGTCAAGGATGGAACCAGCTGCCTATTAACAAACTATGCTTTTTTTTCATTTTTGAGGAAAGGTTGTGACACTTTATCAGTTGAACCTTTGGTGATCGAAAATGGGAGTAGGTTCTCATAGTTCTGATAACATTGATGTTTTATCTAATGTAGGTCAGGATTGTTTAACAGTTCTTTTTTAAGGGATACATTTTAAATGACTAGTTGTTTGGGGCAGAGAAGATGAACAGAAGAGCAAGAGAGAGTCCCTTGTCCACAGACATTGCTTTTACAGTTCTACCAGTTGTAGGTCTGTTTGCTTTGACCTGTTCCCATTTTAAAATGTAAATACTACTAGGAAGCATGCTTTCTTGATTGATTGTTCCTTTGGAGGGGGAGCTTTCTAAAAGGAAAAAAAGTTCGGAAAGCCATAGTTAGGAGAACTAGAAACAGCCTGTGAGCAGTGGGATGAAGAGGGTGTTCATTTAAGTCAAATCTCAGCCAGCTAGCAATGTTGCCTTGCTTCAGCTAATTTGACTTGTCCTGCTTGACCATTTAGCCAACCTATTTGGCAAACTATCACAACCAACTGCTACATAATCCAAAGGGTAATGTTACTTAGATTTATGTTCACTTGATCTATGAGATAAAAATAGCCAAGAAAGATCTTAGTTGCAGCCTTTCAAGAATTTGGTGTATTAATGAGTTCATGTCTGAAAATAGTAATATTTAGAGGCGTGAGTTTATGGTATGACCTTGTTGCTCCTACGGCATCCCACCCACAGTTCTACACTGAGGGTAGAATTTAGGGCCTGGCACATATGCTGGGCAAGTGTTCTACTACTGACTGGGATACATTATACCCAGTTCCAACATTTCAGAGCATATCTTGCATATATTTCATATTGTTTGTTCAAATTATAAATGGGAAATTTTAATATTTTATGGACCAACTCACTACCCAGAATTCATACAAATCATCATCAGTTTTAGGTTATAAAATTAAGAATTTGAGCTATCAAGGGTTAAGAACACTGACTTCTTGCAGAAGACCTGGGTTTGAATCCCAGCACCCACATGGCAGCTAACAACCGTCTGTAACTCCAGGTCTAGGGGATCCTACAGCCTCTTCTGTCCTCCTCCGGCATTGCACAACACGGGTGCACCTACCTACATGCAGGTATAACACTCATACATATAAAATAAAAATAAATAATTTTTTTTAGAAAAAGAATTTGAGCTATAAAAAGGAAATCATAAAATAATTACTAAGGGGAGATGGCTCAGTGGATAAAGTGGTTGCTATGCAAGCATGAGGAGCTGAGATCAGATTCCCCAGTACCCACATAAATAAACAGTACATGCCTGTAATCCCAGTGCTAGGAGGTAAAAACAGAAGGATCCTTGGGGCTTGCTGGCCAGCAATCCTAGTCAATCATTGAGCCTCAGGTTGAATGTAAGACTGTCTCGGGACAAGAGAGATGACAGTATTAAGAGCACTTGCTGTTCTTGTAGAGGACCCAGATTCAGTCCCAGTACCCACATCAGGCAGCTTTCAACCATCTGTAACTCCAGTTCAGGGGATTTGATGCCTTCTGGCCTTCATGCATACTAGCATACACGTGGTGCATATTAATGACACATACATAAAATTTTTTTTAAAAGATGGAAAGGCATAGAAGATGCCTAATGCCTGGCTCCTGCACACGAGCGTTCGTACACCATACACACAAATAAAATAATCACTAAGGAATAAATCCCTGCATTTAAACTGTGGAATATAAGAAACTTTTCAAGAGATGGCTGTAAGTTTTAAATCCAAATTATTAGATAAATGAAAGGCATCTATTAATTTTGTTCCCTATGATGGTGCAAAGCCCAGGGTCTTTAACTTCTAGGCACAGGCTTTACCACTGAGCTGTACCCTCAGTCCTATTTTCTTTATTTTTAAGTCAGTGTACCCAACAGCATTTTTGTGGAAAGTGAGTTGTTGCTTGTGTTTATGTGTACATAAGCATACTCTTGGATGTTCAGCCCGTAGGTGGTAGTACTTGGTAATTGCCTGACCAAGCAGCTACTTGTGCTTGTACTTTATTAGGTTGGAAGAAGGAACATCATTGTTAAAAAAAAAAAAAAAAATAGCCAGTTAAAGTTTGGAGGTTTTACTGAGGAAGGAAGGCAGGTTTTATCTTTTTGTTTGCTTGCTTTCCAAGGAACAGTAGGAAAGAGAGGTGTGCATACTGCAGACAATGAACAGTTTAGAAATTTATTTTGTCTTTACATTCCAAAAAGAACGTGTAGTTCAGTTCACCATTTCCAGCCCTTTAGGGAATTAAGTTCTGGTAAAGGTAAGGATAACTAACATAAACAGGTATTTTTCCTCTGTTAAGCTATTTTTTATTACTGAACTAGGTTATATGCTTCTAGACGAATACGATTTTTAAGAAACCCTTTCTAAAAAGAAAAATTACTCAGAAAAAACTTTGTGTTTCTTTTTTTTCACCTGTCCCTTCCCTGCCCCCAGCCACGCAAACAGATATAGGATATGTGTTAAATTTTTTTCTTTTCTCTTTTTGGTGACACGTTCCAGAACTTGTACAAGCAAGTTGGTGGTACAGTGGCTTTAGCTCCAAGTTTAGTAAAAGGAAGAGTATCAGAAAGTCGTGATGATATAATCCTGTTTTGTCAGTAACTCTATGCTTCTGAAATATTTTCTGAAAGATAGATGACAGGAATATTAGAAGAAAGCCATTTTGATGCCCATCATAATAGAAGTAGTATGACAGTCTTTAGACTCATAGAAGTAAGGTGGGAGTATCACATGATAGTTATATGCTCAATATTTTGAGGATCTACCAAATTGTTTCCTATAATGAATACGTAATTTACAATTCCACTGAGCGCACAAAGATTTGAATTTGTCCAGTCTCACCAATATTCATTATTTTCTGTTTTATTTCAAAGTAGTAACCCTCCTAAAGGGTATGAGTGCATATCTAATCATGGGTTTTTAAAATTACATTTAGTCCTACCTACATGCAGGCAATATACTCATACACATAAAAATAGTAAGGCCAGTTGTGGTGGCTCATGCCTTTAATCCCAGCACTTGGGAGGCAGAGGCAGGTGGATTTCTGTAAGTTCAAGGCCAGCTGGAGCTACAAGGAGACCCTGTCTCAAAAAGACCCCAAAAAAAGAAATCTTAAATACTTTTTGGAATGTGCAGAGAAATATTCATAGAGGAAAATGCAAATTTATTTTGGTTCAAGAAATTGCAGGTGTACAACTGTGGCTAGAGAGATGATACACATGCTGTTACGGGGACTGAAGATATGACTCAGCAGTTAAGAGCACTGACTGCTCTTACAGAGGACGTGGGTTTTGGTTCCCAGCATCCACATGGTGATTAACAACTCTGTAACTCCAGTTTCCAGGGATCCGATGCCCTCTTCTGACCTTTATGAACATTGCACAACCTGGGTGTACTTACATACATGTAGACAATACACTCATACATGTAAAATAATAAATAAAATATTTACATATGCTGTTATGGAGCATGACAAGTTGAAAATGAGCTCAACTTGTAGAGTTATAGCCAAGGAAGTTAACACTGTTTTGATTTGTAAGTATGTTATGCTGTTATCCATTGAGCTAGTTAGACTGAACTAAAATTACTGAATTCAATTTTGTGAATTGCATAGGAAAGAGAAATTCATTTCAAAAAAGGAAGTGGAATTGGGGCATCTGGAATTTTATCGTACAGGCAGGGCGAGGCAATTGGGATACCCCTTCAGTGGTTCTATCTAAAAAAACTCCCAAATTACATAACTCTTAACTGTAGAGAGAAAAGAAAATCCTTGATTGGTGCCTAGGAGATGTGATAGAAAACTGGAGTTCTTATTGAGACAAAAGGAGACTAGACCATGTCACCATTTTCACATCCATCCATGCACAAGTTGTGTAGCAGAGTGCATATAACTAGATGAGCTTCAACTACAGTAGGAGAAAGGTTACAAAGAGTCAGACTTCTGTCAGATATGGATGTGGCTGCGTATTTCAGGCCGGCCATTGGGTTGGTTGGCATTTTTCACAAATGTACAGGATTTCTGTGTAAAGTAGGCAGTTTGACAAGTCATTCATTATTTGGTACAAAAAGGTAGTCTGTCAATTCACGGTTTTAACATGTCAGCTACTAAAAAAATAGTGATTTTTAAGATTGTCATTTTTACTGTTCCCAAAGCAATTCTATTAAAAATCTCAAAAACCTTCAGTACTCTTTGTCTGTAGACTAATATAA